TGGATTACATTTTAACAATAGCACTTGAAAAAGTTGTAGTGAACATATGCAGGATTAGAAGCAGGAACTTGAGTAGTCTTTTCCATAGAAAAGATATTAAAAGATCAATACTGTAAAATACCACAGACAGGTCAGATGTCTAAAGAAATAAAGTCATGTTCCACATCCTCAGGAGTAGAGAAACAGCAGTACCCAACTAATTGGATTTTATAGGAGTAGTATTAGCTAACAATTATTCAGTGCTATGTACTAGTACATGTGTTAGTTAACTCATTGAGTCCTCATAGTAGCCTTAAATGGTATATACTGTTATGCCTGTTTTTTAGATAAGGCAACTGAAACAAAGAAAAATTATTTGGGGCCTCCCTGGTGGCACAGGGGTTTAAGTCTCTGGGCTGTCAAGCTATTGCCTGTTACTGCAGCATGAGTTCAATCCCCAGCCAAGCAGCTAACCCACAGGCGCAGCAGACCTCTCCTGACTCACCCACTGCTCCCCTCAGCAGTCTATTTCAGTAGATCCACCTGTTTTGCTCCCCACTCTGTCTCTGGTGTATCCTCTCACTTCCTGCACCTTTGGCCTACACCCCAGTTCTTGTATGCATAAATAAATATTTTTTTAAAAAGTATTTGCCCACACAAAATTTATTAGTAAGCTGTGGGGTCATTACTTTGAAGGCCTGAACTCTGATTCCTCAGCCCACTTTCAAATCATTTTTGTACTCCCAGAAGAGAAAACTAATCATAAATTTGATGGAGGGAAACTGAAAATCTCCCAGAGGGAGGAACATTAGGAAGAAAGTATAAGACATTCTCAGAAGAGGAAATAATATAAACCAAAAGCATTAGATAAAAAATGGATAGCATATTCACCGAACATTGGTAGTAAGGCCAGACAGAGATGTAGGTTGGGGGAATATTTTGAAAGACTTTAAGTGGCAAATTTATTAAACTTTATTCTAAAGTCTTGTAAGCAGCGCAGAGACACATGATAGAGTTGTGGAAAAATGACTAAAAATAATGTATCAGCAGGAGTGATAAGGGAGTAAAGGAAATTACCAAGAGGGGTCACTGTTGTAATGATGGCCAGAAATAATCAGGGCTTGAACTAAAACACTGAGGGTAAATGTTCAAAAAATATCTCAGAAGAGATTAATTTTATTCAGTGGTATTCAGAAAAAATCAGGTACATCTCCAGGCACTGGGAATACAATGTTGAGTAAACCAAAAACTATGCCTTCTACCATGGAACATCTAATTTATTGGTTAAAATGGTTATCTGCCATCTTTAGCAATTTTTAGTTTAATCCTACCTTAGATGTGAATTACTAATAAACTTCCTTTTTGGCTGAAAAGTTACAGTACAGTTAATAAGAAGCCCTGGTGGTGCAGGCGATGGAGCGCCACACTGTGAAGCTGTCCGCGGCCTCTGCAGCGCCAGTTTGATCCCGGCAGGCCAGCTAGGGTCCCACATGGTGTGGCAGACCTCTCCTGTCTCGCCCGCTGCTCCCCTCAGCAGTTTATTTCAGTCAGTCAGTCTGTTCTGTTCCCTGCTCTGTCTCTGGTGAATCCTCTCACCCTCCCGTGCATCTGACGTGTACCCTGGTTCTTGTATGTATAAATAAATAAATCTTTAAAAAAAAAAAAGCTAAAATAAAACCTAAATACCACCCCAAAGGCTGGTAAATTTTGTAATATGCATTAGCCTTAATCTGTGAAAATACTTTATTACAGGTCTCCTTGAAGAAAATGATATTTTCAGGAATGCTCAGGCAGGTGTTCTCATCAGTACTAATAGTCACCCAGTCTTAAGGAAAAACAGAATATTTGATGGATTTGCTGCAGGTTTGTTTTTTCTTTTATTACCTATAGCTTGTGTGTTTATTTTTTAGTGTATTACCTCTCCTTTGCAAATAAACTAAATGTATGCCAACCATACTGTCCATTAACAGTCATCTAAAACAAATTCTGGATATAATACTGCTGTTGCTATTCAGTAATAATTATAAAACAGTAACTGTGATACAGTAAGTGCAGGTTTATACCATTAGAAATAAATACGTTCAACCCCCTGCCCCCTCACAAACACAGAATTTAAAATGATCTTTGGCATGCATGTATATTTTAACTTTTTAATTTCAAATAGCAATCTAGCTCCTATTCTTTCCAATATGTAAACTTTACCTGCTACCTAAACATATTTCTGAGTACTGTCCTCCTCTACTTTGTACCTCTAGCAAGGATAGTAGATTATTCATAGTGGAAAGTATTAGTCAATAATTCAAACATTTGCCTTTTATTCATTAAATTTTAATGTACTTTTATATAAAAGAACTAGTTTACATTTGCTGTATTTCAGATTTCTTTTGAGAAATTATATGAAGTGATACAACTACTGTTTGTAAATTTTATTTCAGGTATTGAAATTACAAATCACGCAACTGCAACACTAGAAGGCAATCAGATTTTTAACAACCGGTTTGGAGGCTTATTTTTAGCATCTGGTGTTAATGTGACAATGAAAGGTATGTTGGAATCTGTGTTCTGCCTATTGATAAAAACACCATGAAGATAATCAGAAGCCCTTTAGTCATTAAGTTGATTCTTTCCATTGCCTCTGTAAGTTAGCAACAAACTCTGGAACTATTTTGAAAACGAATTTGAATTACTCTAAGAATGGAATGTCTTGCACAAGGAAAACGCATGCCGATTTTACTTCATTGAGTTATTAGCCTTCTAAAGCTCTTAAAAGCTAGCAGTTCTTCTATATTAGAATCCTATAATCTTTAACCTTAAATCTTTGTCCTTTAGAACTTTACTTTTTTCTTTTATTGCAGATAACAAAATAATGAACAATCAAGATGCCATAGAAAAGGCTGTTAGTAGAGGCCAATGTTTATATAAAATATCAAGTTATACCAGCTATCCCATGCATGATTTCTACAGGTATGTTTCAGAATTATCTGTGTCTTAAAAAGAGGGGAAGATAGTGACTATTTCCTAAACTGGCAAATCGTAGTATTTTTATAAAATCTCTTTACTATGTAAAGCAGTCAACTGGCTATTTGGGGGTAGGAGAATTTAACTGATATTGGTCCAGATTGAGTTCTGTAATCTGAGTCCTGTTTGGGATCATAAATATGGGAAAATGTAGTATTTTTTATATCATTGAAAATGTTGAACCAAGCATTTATATTATCTCACTAGGAGTTTCAAAGTAAAATTATGAAATTTTCCATAATACCCCAGTCACTCAGTTGGGTTTGGCTCTCCATTCCCCCCATATTGATCAGTAAAGACATGACAGCTTCATTTTCTTTAATGACAGTTTCAACTACAGTTGTTTTCCTCAGAAGACTCAAGACAGTACACTTACTATAGTGAAAAATCTTTTCACAATCTGGGCTCAAACCAGACTTTAGTTCTCTTTCCTTGTAAGCCAAAGGTCATAGGGTAATATGTACATACAATGCAGTATGTTAACTGGTAAGTTTGAGAAAAATAATGTAAGATTTTGCTTTTTAGATGTCACACTTGTAACACCACAGATCGAAATGCCATATGTGTGAACTGCATTAAGAAGTGCCATCAGGGACATGATGTAGAATTTATTAGACACGATAGGTACGTAACACACGCGCTTGCTGTATTAACCCCTTATTCTCTCCTCCCCCACCCATCCCTCCTCCCTCCTAATCTTTGGGTTTTCATTTTGCTTTAGGTTTTTCTGTGACTGTGGTGCTGGAACACTGTCTAATCCTTGTACATTAGCTGGTGAGCCTACACATGATACAGATACACTATATGACTCTGCTCCACCTATAGAATCTAATACATTGCAGCACAACTGAATTCCTTCCCTAAAGAAAAAAAAATCCTGCCATTCTAACATCATAACTTAAAAACCTTTTTTTTGGAAGAAGTTATAATATTTGCCCATGCTACAGGAAGAGACTGTATTAAAAATGGATACAAAAGGTCAGTTGACACTATCAAGAAGCTCAAGCTACCAAAAAGAAAGTGGCAATATATTGACTCAGGATATCAAAGCTGGGTGTTAATAGCATTACTGTGTAAAGACTTTTGAAGGGACAAGTGAAGACAATAAGCTGCAATTTTGTACAGATACCAACTTCTGAAAAAAAGCTGGTGTTTTTACAACTAGCATTGAATGCAGTCCAATTTGCAGTAGTACTCTTCATTAGACAAGCAGCTTTGTTGCTGCCTTTATGGACATGGGTACCAATTGCTTTTGTAATATGGTAAAAATGTGAGCTAGCACTTCCGCATTTCTTTTGATTTTTTTAACATGTATTCAGATTGAGAAATATGATTTTAATGCTTTACTCCCATGTAGTTTGTTTTTAATTTCAAGCAAAATCTTATTGTACTTGAATGTGCCCTGTTTTGTTAGCACACCTAGACTTGCTGTAACTGTACTCATGTCCCAGTATGTACGTTCTTTCTATGAAAGAGAAAACACTAATCTTAAATTATATCCAGCAATGTTTCTGGTATCCTTTAACAAAAGTTAAGACTATTATTTCCTTCCCTTCCCTGTGCAGCATTCAAAAACCACCCCTAGAAAAAGTGAGTGTTTTAATGAGACTTCCTAGGAAGGGATGCACTGTAAAACAAAAGTATTCTTGTAACTCAGTTTTGTGAAAGGTAAAAACTACTATGTTTTAAAGTACACTTTAGAAAGTCTCTTCAAAACAGTCCTGTATTTGAACTCTGTTCATAGTTTTTTTTTGAACAGTTTAGACAAACTGCTGGAAATTAAAACAATTTCCTGCATTAAGCTGAGACAAGTATATATACAGCCCCATACAGTTTCATAGATTTCCCCCCCCCCATTTATGTGTATTGGTGACAGTGGGTATTAATAAACAGCTTGACGTTGTATGCATGTACCATAACATCTAGACTTAATATATTGTGGAGTATTCAATAACCATTTATGTAGACGGTAGGTTAAGAATTAAAAGGGTTTAATTTCCTAGAAAGAAAAGTGGAAAAACTGACTTTTTAAAAAATAAAGTTTATTAGATCATAATGTTGTCTGAATTTACCACCTTTGTCAAAAGTTAACTTCCAATGTAGTCTACAATTCCTCAACCAATGTCAGCAACTTATGGACAGCTTCAGCATCTACAGTCAACCTTTCACTAGCCAGGCAGACTTCCCTTAAAATAAAAAAAAAAAAGTTTTAGTTTTACCTGTTCAGTGTATCATCCATCCCCCTTCACTGTTTTAATAAGGTTAATATCCAGTGTTAATTACCGAAATAATCGCAGTGACTGAGTCATCTTCTCAAATTCTCTTGCTTTTCTATGTCCCTTTTGAATAACCTCTTCTGGGAGATTAGCCAGCCTCGCTGCATTAAAGCCATAGCTTTTAGGACAAGCTCCCTTAATGAATTTATAGAGGAAGGTAATAGTCTCCTGACTGGGATCTTCACATTCATTTTCTACCATGCATGCCTAAAGAAGAAAAATGTCTTAGTTGTATGTTACCAGTGAAACTACCTGACTCGATACTCTCAAAATCAAAAAATTGTATTTACCATGTGTCCTAGGCGTACTGCAACATTTTGAGAATAATCTTCAACTAATGAATGGTAGTGAGTAGAAAACAAAGTACGACACTTTATATTCTCAGCAAGTTCTTTAACAACTGCATTTGCTATTGCTGTTCCATCGAATGTTGCCGTACCTCTTCCTGTGGAAGTAAAATGTATAAATTATGTATTATTACAATCTGCCTTACTATACCAAATAGGATATACTTCAAAGGGATATCCTTCCCCACCCCCAAAAAGCTGTATCTGTAAATCTAAGAGCATTTTATATAAATAGGCACTTTTTTGGTTCATTTGGTAGCCTTTGGGGTGTAGGGGGGAGTGTGCATTTTCCACTGAGCTTTAGAAACTTCCTATTAACGCTTAGATATTCTCATTCCCACATAAACTAAACTTCAACAGGATTAGGAAATTTAAAACAGTAATTAAACTGTCTTAGGTACATATGGGTCATGTGGCACAAATGTTGGGTTTATTTCATGTACTTTTTAAGAGATGTCCTTCAGACCATCTTCTAGGTAAGAAAGTCTTCAACTGGAAGCTCGAACGGCTTACCTAATTCATCCACAAGCACTAGAGAATGTGCTGTCGCATGTGTAAGTATACTCGCAGTTTCACTCAACTCAACAAAAAATGTACTTTCACCTTAAAAAAAATTCACAAATCAGTGGTCATTTTAAAAAGCTGGTAACACTAGGTTCATTTGTAAAATTTCATATCATTTGATTCTATCATGAATTAACCAGTGGCACTAAAGGTTGAATTAAGATATTAAATAATTCTTAAAATACTGGGAGTAATGCTTTTCAAATTTCTAAACATTCTCCTTAGTGTAATACCAGAAAAATCAGACATCAAATTTAAATGGCTTATATGCAAATTCTGAAGAAAATGCATTTATCACTTAAAATACAGTCAAATAATAAAGCCCTAAATAGGTGGGACAAACTCACCTGACATTATTCTGTCTGAGGCACCAAGTCTAGTAAACACCCTATCAATTGGTGTGAGCCTACACACTTCAGCGGGCACATAACAACCCATCTGGGCCATTACAGCTAGAAGACCAACCTGTGAATGAGAAAAAGGTCAACCACTGGTATTAAGAATATCTCCAGGGCCTCCCCGGTGGCGCAGTGGTTGAGCGCTGGGTTGCGAAGCTGCCCGCAGCCTCTGCAGTGCCGGTTCGATCCCCGGCTGCTCCCCGGCCACTGGAGGAGGGTCCCACATGGCGCGCAGACCTCTCCTGCCGCCCGCTGCTCCCCCAGCAGTGTGCTTCGGTCCTTCTGCCTGCTCTGCTCCCTGCTCTGGCTCTGGTGAATTCTCTCACCCTCCCATGTTTCTGACTGTACCCAGTGCTTGTATAAATAAACAAATAAATAAATCTTTAAAAAAAAAAAAAAGAAAAAAAAAAAAAAAAAAAAGAATATCTCCAAAAAAAGAAGAGTATCTCCAGAGCCTCCCTGGTAGCGCAAGGGATTAAGTCTCAACACTATAAAGCTATTGGCAGCCACTGCCACTGCAGGAGTTTGATCCCCAGCCAGACAGCTGACCCATGTGGGGCAGCAGACTTCTCCGTCTCGCCCATTGTTCCACCTGCTCTGCTCCCCACTCTGTCTCTAATGAATCCTCCCATCACCACCCCTACCCCCATACTTCTGGCCTACACCCTAGCTCTTGTAGGCTTAAATAAATCTTAAAGTATCTCCAGAAGACGGACAATAAGCCAAGCTCGTCAATATTTTCTTACAAAATCAACATTTCTGTTACAGAGGAAGAGCCAGCACTGGGGGGAAAAAAATCTTCATAATCCTAAATAGAAAAAATTGCTTAGAAAGCAAGACACTTAGAGCCTAATTGGCCTTCAAACCTCAGAGCCTGTATACTAACTAACCCACTACACCTTAGTAAGTCTCAAACCCTGACTACAAAGTTGAATCATTCAGTACTTTGAAATTGGCCTAGAACCAATTCCAAACAAATTGATTTTTCTGTCCTTTTTGTTGCGCTCTCTCCAGGTAGTTTTGATTAAAAAAACAAAAGGCTACTATACTGCCCCTCTCATTAACAAGTTTTGGTATAATACACTGTGGGGAAGCAACAGGAGAGGAAGGTGTGCCAGCAAACTTTGTCATCTTGTAAAATCTGTCTTCCCTAAAAGCAGTTCCCAGCATTACTATAGGGAAATTTATTTACGACCTAAGCCTGCCATGGTAGTTTGATAAGGAGTCATCCTACAAATAAGTCTAAGATAAGGACAAACCTGTATGTAACATTTGCATAATTTCCATCCATTATGAATACCTTGACAGGAAATTAACTCAGTCAAGTCAAAGAACTTACAAAGAAACCATGACGTGAAACTTTTCCTTACTATTCAGGCAGATATTTGACCCATGAAGTAAATACAATTCTCAATTTATATACGACACAAGGAGTTTCCCAGTAGCTAGCCAGTAACTGAATTTAGTTCTGCAATTATGCTATTTGGAAAAGGATAACCTAAATTATGTTAATATATTCATTCTTAAAGTTACAAATACCTTTCTCTATAACAGAGCGTTAAGGGTCAATTTACCTGTCTCATGAGTGTAGACTTGCCCCCCATATTCGGTCCAGTAACAAGTACACAATAAGCTTTGCCATTTTCCTCCTCTTCTTCCTCACAGCCTATTAGAATGTCATTAGGAATAAAGTCATCTCCAAAAAAAGTCTTTGTAATGCATGGATGGCGTGATCCTTTAAGGTCTAAGAAGGGGGGGGTGTGTTCTTCTGGCAACAAAATTATCGGACGACACATGGGACCATCACCCCCTCGACTGTAGTTAGCCAGGCACAGTAAGACATCTGTTAAAGAGAGGGTAAAAAGGAGACTTCATCACTTTGGAGGCTTCTTCGTAAGTACAAAATACCCAATGTCCTTAAGGCTTCCAAAAATGCCGTTTCAGTAATGGTGTGATGCATCTATTTGCTCTTTAGAAACAGCAGCTTTTCTCTAACAGGCATTCTTACTAAGCAACATGTACCACTAACTTCGTTAACTCCATTACAGCACTTGTAGAGAAGTGAGAAACAGTCTTCCATTTCAGCCAAATGATCTTCTCCCACAAATTACAACTTAGGTTCCCCAGCCCCCTCCTCTCCCTAACATTTGGCCCGAGGGCATGCCACAGGAGAGCTAATACAGCAGACAGACACTATGATACATAAATACCCACCTAATTGTTCTAAGTTCTATTAGCTTAAAGAACAAACAAAGAATGTTTGTTTGGCACAACAAAGAATGTTCTTCTGTTCTGGGCAGTTGGGTTTAGATCAAAATATTTGTTACAAACTTGGGTGAGCTATGGTTGTTATACTTTCAAAAAAAAAAAATTACAGAACAATAAACTGGCCACAAAATTTAAAGGAAAATTTATGAAGCTGAAGCTGAAATGGTTATCCAATTACAAATATATGAACCAGGGTGCTTCGAAATCAATTACAAGAAAGTGTGGCATCTTAGGCTAAGAGAAAAAGGGGAGATTAAAATGTTTAAATATGCATGTAAAGAAATTCATTAAAATATACAAAAACATGCAAAGTTTATAATAAAGCTGAAATGAAGTGATTATCAAGGGATAGTTTTATATTAGTGTAACCGAAACTGGAAGGTTAAAGTTTTGTCAAATCCTGAAAAATTCACTTAGTGAAACTGACCTAAAATAAATAGCTTGTCTCAATAAGTGCCAAAAATCTTTTACCAATCTTTTGTTCAATTATTTAAGACTGAAGAAAGGCTGGGGGGGGGGGTGTGGACAGGACACACGGGACTATTCAGTTGACAGCAAACACTGCTATGGGCAATCTGTTCCTTTTTCCTAGTGAGGCGGCAGGATATGCTTGTCACATATACCCCTTGCTACGTGTGTTTAGGACACACAGCACTGGGAACACTTCTCAGTTTTCATCCTTCTGTCCAACGGGACATAGGGCATTACTAACCAAAGCCTTGGGAGTGAGCTTACGGAAGGCCTTACCCAACACTGCGATGCACTCTACGGCAGATTGCCAGTCCTTGTAATTCTTATCAAAGTTATAGAACAGTCGCCGCATGCAGTCCTTCAGAGAGGTGTCTCTGCGTTCCTCGGCATTTATCAGATTAGCCAACTTCTTCTCAATGGTTTTGGTCCAGTACCGCTTACAGCCCTTCTTAGTGGATTTCAACTCATATTCTTCTGGCAAATTACGAGTGGTGAAATTCTCTGGAATTTCCAACTGGTAACGGTTTCTACCAATCCCCCAGTAGACTATGGCCCTACAGCCGATTCGACTGCGCTGTTTGTCCAAATAGTCCAGAAGACTCTGTTCATTTTCTCTTATGTCAGCAAGAGCTTGGTCATAATCAGAGTCAAACCCTGCTTTGGGAGTTATCAGTCCAGTCTTTCGAGCCTTTTCATGGTCAAAGGCTGTATCCCATCGGTTCAGTTCTGCGGTTAAGTCAGGAAAACGGCCTTCAGGATTTTTTGTATGCAAAGTAATGACCTGTTTAAGGATTTTGGATTTAAACTCATCAACAACTTCTTCCATAAGCTCTACAATTTTACATAATACTTTGAATCCTTCCAGAGCAGAGAGAAAATCAATAATCTTTTTTTTGCTATATGTAGTTTCTTCATACATTATAGCCCTGCTATCGGGGTGGTTCTGGCTCTTCAGGGGAGAGCCAACATTATGAATTTTACTAAGTAGCCTCTCAAGGTCTGGAAGCTTCTTTAGAAGGTCTACAACCTCAGAGATCTTGTCAGGCACAGCCATGAGGTCTTCTATGGCATCTAGACGATCATTGATAGCGTAGGGGCTACAAAGTGGAGCACAAAGCCACTGCTTTAGCAGCCGCTTACCAAAGGGGGTACTGCAGGTATCAATCTTCTCTAGCAGCGTCCCTTCGGTAGAACCATTTGTCCCATTCAGAAAAATCTCCAGGTTGTTTAATGTCACAGCATCTAGCACCATTCGTTGATTGGTTTTAGCAAAGACAGCACCGGGTCTTGTTCCACTGCCCATGTCAGAATCCAAGGGAACATACTCTTCAAAATTAGCCATTGATAAAAGCTCCTGATCAATAAGGCATTTTTTGAGGTAGAAGACACAGCCGCCTAGAGCAGAGAGGGCCAATTCACTTTTCTCTCCTGGAGTCAATCCAATGGAATCAGCCTCTGAAGTCATACCTTTAAGTACCTCGGGTAACATTACCCTGTTGTCCTCATTTAATTTCTCTGTAAAATATCCTTCTTCAAGGAGAGTTTTCAGAGTTTTGGCTGCGTCCCAAAATTGGGAGCCTGGTATCAGACCTTCCTGAAGAGAGGAGGATAATGAACCCTTGAGAATCATCCTCGTTTCCACTGAGAGATTTCCTTTCTCAAACAAGACTTGTACTGGAGGATAGTGTGCAACCAGAGTCCTAAACCTGGAACAGTGGCGATCATCTGAAAACTGTCCTATGAAAAACTTTCCCAATGAGGTGTCAACAAAGCATACACCGTACACTCGAGTGTGACCAGAAGAATCATCATCTTTTTCTTTGAGGCTGAGAAGATACTTACTGTGGTTCTCAGAGGGTTCCCCCTCCAGCACACTGTAGGTCTGCGTACCTTTGGTAATGACCCTACAGATCTCCCTCCTCACCACTCTATCGTGCTTCGATATATGCGCCATCTTTCGGCATCGTGCCTCCATCATCTCCGGCGTCTCAGTCTGTTCCACTCGCGCTACTTTATAGCCCTTCTGCACCAGGGAATCTGAGTACCGGCCAAATGCAATTTCAGGGAAACCAGAATGGGCCCAGTTGCCTTTCATGAATACCAGTCCTAGTTCACTGACTCCGGTAAGGGCATCCATGTGGTACAGTTCATAAAACTTGCCCACCTTATAAAATATGACAAGATCAAAATTCTGAGACTTAATCTGCCACCACTTCCTCATGCCAGGAGTACAGGAATTAAGGAAATCCTCAGGCACGTAGACTGTGGATGCATCAAAATCCGGGTGATCGGGTCGCCGTCTGTGCCAGTCTCTTCTCTTCTCCTCCTTAAGCCATTCTAAAGTCTCATGATACCAGACAGTGGGGCGACCATCATCACAGCCGCTGCTAATGTGGGCTTGGGCGTCAGAATTTTGAGGGGCAGAGAAAGCACTCAAAGCACTCTTGGTTTCTGATGAAACGCCAGTTGTTCGTCTGCTGGCTGAGGCCATTTCTTTCCTTGAATTTTTCCTTTTGAGAGAGCCATTGCCAGTCACCATTCTCTTCCGTTTTGGAGCTACTTTGGCAGGGCCGTCCAGGCCTTCACTGTCACTATCCCCCACTCCACTGCTGACTTCATCACTGCTTCCTTCCTCCTTAGCATCTGGCTTGAATTCCACATCAGAGCCGCCAACGTCACTCTCAGAGTCTGATATGACCCTTCGTTTTTTTATTTGACGGCTACTTCGCCTAGACCCTTGCACCTTAGGTGTCACTTCCTCTTCACTCTCAATTTCATTATCCTCTTCACTTTTATCTGAGGCATAGGTTGCACCTACCTAGCAGGCAAGGAAAAGGTATTTAAAAACCAAGCACATTTTGGAAAATGAAAACACTGCGGTGCAATAAACGCAGTATGTTGCAACTTCATATACCAAGAAAAGAGCCCACCTCCAGAAATGAGAAACTATCTTCTTTCCATTTCACCTAACATCAAAACAAGTATAGCACGCTACAAGAGTAAGTGGTTCCTTCCTGGAGAATGGTGATGAGTCCATCAGCAGGACCACACAACAAACACCTGGACACACCGTCCTCACCAACGGCCACAGTTAGGGAAATAACTCCCTGGCTCTTTCTTCCTCGTCCCGAGGGGCATGTGGTAAAGCTGACCATTTTGCAAATTCTTTAGTTTTACGAACCAGTGATCTACACTGGCCCTAGTCTATGCTCGTCCATAAACCAGCTGTTTCACCTAGGGCAGGACACATTCACTTACCACGAATCTCCCTCACACGTAAGGCAGGATGACACTATGTTCTCTGCGGTTACCCTCCAGTTCTAAACCACGGATTAACGTTATGATCCCTGATCTCAATCTCAATAATGAACTTTTTTTCTTCTATTTCTCATGAAGTACCTACTGTATGACTTCCTTATTCCCTATATCATCTGTAAGACAATAAAATCTAAATCAAGCTGGGTTATGGATGAATCTTTCGAGTACTCAGCTCATTAATTACTATATTAATGATTTCTTTTAAATGAACCATTCCCTTCATTTCCTTAACAGCATTTAATTCACTCAAATAGTGACCAGTAACATTTGAAACCAAGGTTTTATTGCAATTTTACTCAACCTCTATGCCTACCGACCCAGAATACAAAAAAAATTATGAAGGCATAAACCTGGATAATTTCCAGAGTCTGACCACACCCTTACATAGAAGGTCATTGCAGACAGTATGACCGGTGCATTACCATGACGTTCTTACTGTCCCTAGCTCTCTACTTGCCACAAAAATGGCACTCTCTCTTGCAGCATGCCTTCCAGCAGGCTTGGGGGCCACTGAGATTCTGAAGTTATTCAACTCAACCTACAGTTCAGGGATATATGTGTGTGTATACTAGAGAATACAAAGGCAAACATCTGCAAGACAAGCGAATATAACTTAAATATGTCCCCCCTTTCCATCCCTCTCCTAACAGAAATGACCACTGTGCAATGTCCCAAACCTCCATCTCTTCTTCCTCCTCTGGTTCTGAGGGCTCGTCACACACTGCCAATTCAAGTCTCTTAATCTTGTCTGTATTCAAGGCTTCATCTGCACGTTGCATTGCTCTGAGTATTTCAGGCTTTGCACTGTAAAAATGACCACCTTTTTGAGCGTCCTTCGATTTTGAACCTAAAAATATATATACATTTGTAAACAAGAACTGTTGGCCGGATAGTCAGCTTAAACTTCAACACTAGCCCCAATGAACAAGAATGACTATAATCAAGTCTAGTTTTTTATGCCCCATTATTACTTATGACACAACAATAAAAGCCCACAAAATTTTCAGGGAAAACTTCCAGTAAAACCTAAATTATTGGGCCTCCCCGGTGGCGCAGCGGTTGAGCGCTGGGTTGCGAAGCTGCCCGAAGCCTCTGCGGCGCCGGTTCGATCCCCGGCCACCAGAGGAGGGTTCCACATGGCGCGCAGACCTCTCCTGCCGCCCGCTGCTCCCCTCAGCAGTGTACTTCGGTCCTTCTGCCTGCTCTGCTCCCCGCTCTGGCTCTGGTGGATTCTCTCACCCTCCCGTGCTTCTGACTGTACCCAGTGCTTGTATAAATAAATAAATAAATCTTAAAAAAAAAAAAAAAAAAACCTAAATTATTTACTTACATCCTTGAAGATGCTTTAACTGTTGGGTCACCCAGGACCACTTAGTCTCTCTTTTCATGAACTGGTACTGTGGGCCTAAACAGGTAACCACCTCTTCTCAGGTAAGGTATTAGATGTAAAAGGGGTTTTGAGGCCCTTGTTAAATTGCTTCAATAAGGTAAAGACTACACTGTCAATTAAATGAAGTTATGATATTAAAAAATAAGTGCTGCCAAGGCAATTATACAGGTTACATGTTTTCTAAAAAAACTACTGTCAGATATCCTAACATTTTGGCGGGTTAAACCAGTTCAGAGTTTGAATGTGTAAATTCCCCCGGCCCCCCACCCCGCCAACAGTTGCATCAAAATGTCTTACTGTGTTTTAAACTCCTCCAAGTTATATTAAGTGATTATTTCTATCCACTGAGCAAAAGGTTACATGCAGATCACAAGTCTAATGGTACATGTGGCATAACTAGAGATGTTTTCTTCCGCCCAAATATAACTGGAAAACCGAATTTCTTTAAATCTACAGATTCAAATGCTACATTATTTCTTTCTTTCTGTATATGAAAACAAACGAGACAACCTAAATTTCCATGGAAATTAGCAACTATGATGGCTGCCTTAAAATAAAGCTGCAGGGCCTCCCTGGTGGCACCAGGGGTTAAGTCTCAGCACCATGAAACTAACAGCAGCACGAGTTGGATCCACAGCCAGGGAGCTGACCCACATGGTGCAGCTGTGTCACCCACTGCTCCCCTCAGCAGTGTATTTCAGTCAGTCTGCCTGTTCTGCTTCCCCACTCTGAAACCTCTCATTGTCCCTACACCTCTGGCCTGTATCCCAGTTCTTATAAGCATAAAGATCTTAATAAATAAATAAATAAAGCTGCAGTTTCTTTCTCTAAAGAGCTGTACTAAACCTATCTACTACAGGGCCTACCCTGGTGGTGCAGGTGGTTGAGCCCAGCACTGTAAAGCTGTCCGCAGCCTCTGCAGTGCCGGTTCGATCCCGGCCGGCTGGCAAGGGTCCCCCATGGCGGGGCAAACCTCTCCTGTCGCGCCCGCTGCTCCCCTCAGCAGTGTATTTCAGCAGTTTGCCTATTCTGTTCCCCGCTCTTTCTCAAGGTGAATCCTCTCACCCTCCCACACCTCTGGCCTGTATCCCAGTTCTTGTGTAAATAAATCAATCTTGAAAAAAAAAATAATATTCTATTTTTTAAAAAAAACAAAAAAACTATATACTATAATAAACAAAACCATTTGTTGGATGACTCCAAACTTCTCCCAAAGTGCCTCTGTAGTGCCTCTGTAGCTCCCAAAGTGCCTCTGTAGCCCCATATATCCAGTGAGATGATCCTTTCCCAAAGCCCTGATGCAAACAACTATAACTCATGCCCCCTCCCCACACACGCAAATGCACAAAGGGTCTCCTTTTCCCCCGACCTATGCCTCTGCTAATTTAGACACATACACGCATTGCTACAATTTGGAAATTTCAGGCAAAGAATATGCACAGGGGTGACTTTGTAAAATGATGACAACACACATGTAAACTTTCTATTCTTTTAGAAGTCATTTTGCCAAAGCTTTGTTTAGCATCGCAAAACTAGTCCTGGGAAAGACCTCACATGTGGCTGGCCCAACTCTCATTTTATAATATGTAGGAGCAAAAAGTATTAGAAAATAAATTACTGTGATTGACCAAGAGTATACAGAAAATTAGTGGAGAAGATAGAACCAAGTTTCCTGATTCTATTTCATCCTGCATGTCAGATTTCCAACGCCAAGTTAACTTTCTTCAGCGTGCCCAGAATTCTGCACCCTGGAAGAATGTGCAATTTGACCAAAAGACTTGCTTTCCAGGTTATTGGAAACTGAACCTTGTTCTGATTCTAAAACACTCAGGTGGGGCCTCCCCAGTGGCGCAGTGGTTGAGTGCCGTGCTGCAAAGCTGTCCACAGCCTCTGCAGCAACGGTTCGATTCCCCACTGGCCAGGAAGAACCCCACATGGCGCGGCAGACCTCTCCTTCCTCGCCCACTGATCCCGTCAGCAGTGTCTTTGGTCCGTCTGCCTGTTCTGCTCCCTGCTGTGGCTCTGGTGAATTCTCTCACCGCCCCCCCCCCCCATGCTTCTGACCTGTATCCCAGTTCTTCTATAAAATAAATAAATATTTAAAATACTCAAGGTCAGTAACACCCTAGCCTAGAGAGTCTAAGAATAATGGAAGAGGACTTGTACTTGAGCATACAGACACTGCAACCACCCTGTGCACACACTGTATAATTCAAGTCACCAACAGGGCACACTTAGCCCCAGGAAGCTACACATAAAGTACTGCTGATATGTGCTATGTAACCCTGGGCCTGAGGAGAGAAGTTGAAGAGAATGTCAATACTCCAGAAGTGTAGGTGAACAGTTCAAATGTGGCCGTAGATGAGGATTTTGGAGTATGCAGGCCAGAAGAGTGTAAATCTCAGTTTGTCCTAGATAATGTCACTGAACTACATGCTATGTATCCTGAATGTGTTGCTTTTCTTCTGAATCCTTTGAGATGGGGATTAACACTGTTTAATTTACCCTTTTCACATCTGAATTTGGTATTCTGGTCCAAATCATAAGGTCCAACCAATCATGAACTCATTTTTCCTTTAAGGGTATGATATTGCTCTAAATAACTCAAAGGACAGAAATAAAAATTCTGCTCCACGCAACATACTGGCTGAAGACGACTTCTTACCATCTCCCCGTGCTACAAACTTTCACAACACTCCTTAATTCACTGGATTGATACACTTGATTTCATTCTATGAGAGAAGCTAACACTTGTGCTCATGCCTATTCTCTCCTGGCTCCCTGCGGTGGCTCTCTTACCTGTATAGGGCTTTAACAGCCTTTTGCTAACCCAGCCTCTTGTTGGGCTGTCATCAAAAAACTGGACATGAACTCGGACGGACTTCCCCTTCTCTCGGATGAATGTGCCGTCAAAGGGGTGGCTGTAGACCAGGCAAGGCCACCAGGGGTAGCCCTCCATCTTGGCCCACACCAAGTCACCTGGTGAGAAGTCAGAGGAGCTGCTGCCAAAAGGAAATACATCGCTGATTAATATTTAAGTTGCATTAAAGGCAATTATCTACAAATAAGCAATTCCAAAGAAGGTATTGTTGAGATTCCTTTAAAATCTAAATTCTAAAATTAACATTTTTTTAATCAATGAGTTGAAGACCTTTTTTAAGACATGCAGATATCACAGTGCTTACTTATTAAGGCAATCATAAATATAATGAATTCTGCTGTTAAGGAGAGAAACTTTCTCAGAATTACTCAAAGTTTAAAAACTATGTCACAGGGTGGGGCCTCCCGGAGGCGCAAGGGGTTAGGCAATGCACTATGAAGCAATCCGCAGCCTCTGCAGCACGAGTTCAATCCCCGGCTGGCCAGGGAGCAACCTACATGGCACAGCAGACCTCTCCACTCTCACCTGCTGCTCCCCTCAGCAGTGTACTTCAGTACATCTGCCAGTTCTGCTCCCCACTCTGTCTCTGGTGAATCCTCTCACCCCCTGCACCTCTGGCCTGCACCCCAGTTCTTGTATGCATAAATAAACCAATCTTTAAAAAAACAATAGGACTGACATACAGCTCTTTGTCTATGAATGGTGACAGAGCATACAGATTTTGTTTAAGGTTTGATTAAAAAGAAAAAAAAGAAATTTAGTAGTCAGGGGCCTCCCTGGTGGCGCAAGGGGTTAAGACACAGCACTGTGGGACTATCCACAGTCACTGCAGCACTGAGTTCGATTCCCAGCCAGGGAGGTGACCCACATAGTGTAGCAAACCTCTCCTGTCTCACCTACTGCTCCCCTCAGCAGTGTATTTCAGTCAGTCTGTCTGTTCTGTTCTCTGGTGAATCCTCTCAGCCTCCCGCACATCTGATTTGTACCCTGATTCTTGTATAAATAAATCTTTTTTAAAAAAGATTTTAATTTATTTATGCATACAAGAACTGGGGTGTAAGCCAGAGATGTAGGGGGGGTGAGAGGACCCACCAGAGAGTGGGGAGCCAAATAGGCAAATCTATTGAAACACACTGCTGAGGAGAGCAGTGCGCAAGGCAGGTGAGGTTTGCTTCACCATGTGGGTCAGCTCCCTGGCCGGCAGGGGATCAAACTCGTGGTGCAGGGGTTGGTGACAGATTGACAGCACTTTCTTTAACCCCAGCACAATCCACCTGTGTGGTGTCCCCCACTGTCTCTGGTGAATCCTCACCCCCCCATACCTCTGGCCTGTACCCCAGTTCTTGCATGCATAAATAAATCTTAACAATAACAATGAAAATTTAGTGGTCAGAAACCCTGTTCACAGCTCCCTCAATTATAACCCTAATGCACTACAGGAAAAAAATACTGAAGACAACCCATGATGCCTGTATATCCTGACACTTTTCTCAAAATCACTTACTTCAAACTGCTATCATGTGGACTCCTTCCTTTCTCCATCTCCCATAATCTGAATCATCACCAACACCTGTCTACTACTTCAGTCTCCCTCAACTCCTCTCCTAAATCTCTCTGCCACCACCCCCATCCTCTGCTCATCATCAAAGCAGCCTTGTAACTGATTTTCCCAACAAAGACATTTCAGCCAGTGATATTTCTAAAATATCAATCTTCCCAATGAATTTTTTTAAACCTACAGAAGCATCAACCATAAAGAAAAAGATTCAAAACTGACTTCTCAAAAGATATAAACTGAGGGCCTCCCAGGTGGTGCAGCGGTTGAGCGCTGGGTTGTGAAGCTGCCCGCAGCCTCTGCAGCGCTGGTTCGATCCCCGGCTGCTCCCCAGCCGCCAGAGGAGGGTCCCACAAGGCGCGCAGACCTCTCCTGCCGCCCACTGCTCCCCTCAGCAGTGTACTTCCGCCCTTCTGCCTGCTCTGCTCCTCGCTCTGGTGAATTCTCTCACCCTCCCGCGCTTCTGACTGTACCCAGTGCTTGTATAAATAAATAAATAAATAAATAAATCTTTACCCAGTGTTTGTATAAATAAAAATTAATCTTTTAAAAAAAAAGATATAAACTGAGCAAAAGAATAATCCAGGATGGCGACTTTTGCATCACACATGGGTAACAAAGAACTAGAATAAAACTGGCAAAACACTAACTCAAGCACAAAACAAAAGCTAAATGAAAAATAAACATTAAACAATACTTAACATCTTTTAAAAATTTCAACTGACCTTCAGAGTAGTCCAAATGCTCATTGTGGCCCATTAGTCTATTCTGGACTGAATCCCTGCATATTTTTCTCCTCTTCTTTCTTCCCTTGATATGCAGGAAATCATTCTCAGCCTAAACCTCTTCATACCACAGCCTGGCTAACTCCTTTCTGTCCTCAGATCTCAGTCTAGAATGAAAGCTACTCTGACCTATACACACCACCTTCTCCCACAAAGTGCACAGAACTCATATACACTCTGCTCCTGTCCTATTCGATAACTGCCTTTTTATTTATACTGCTCATCGTTGTATTCATGATCCACAATGCTTAATGCTTGAAAGCATAGGTTCATGAACATTTGCTGAATGAATGCCAAATCTATATACTGGAGTCATTAGAAGCCTATTACCGGGCCTCCCTGGTGGCGCAAGGGGTTAAGACACAACCTATGAAGCTATCTGCAGCCAGGGAGTTACCCACATGGCACAGCAGACCTCTCCTGACTTGCCCGCTGCTCCCCGCAGCAATATATTTCAGTCGATCTGCCTGTTCTGTTCCCCACTCTGTCTCTGGTGAATCCTCTCACCCCCCACACCTCTGGCCTGTACCCCAGTTCTTGTATACATAAATAATCTTTTTTTTAAAGCCTATTACCAGACAACTTTCTTGAATACTATAGAAACTGTTCCCCACAGTAAGTGCTCATAGTAGAAAGAAAGCTGAATGTAAACTGTCAGGCTTTTACAAGTCTCCTGAATTCAACCCTCGAAAAACAAATAGTATGTGCTATTGAATATAAAAAGCACAGCCAAACAATACATCACTTTAACATGGATGCAAGAATCAATTCATATTCCAGAAGATGTTTTAACACAGTGTACATATCTCACAAAAAGGTCTATGGAAAATGCACAAGTAGTGAAAGAAAAATATTTTTCCCTCTACCTTTCTGAGTTCTTGATTAAAGATTGGTAAGAGGGGCCTCCCTAGTGGCACAGGGGTTTAAGATACAGCACTATCAAGGTAAGCTAACCACATGGCGCAGCAGACCTCTCCTGTCTCACCTGCTGCTCCCCTCAGTATATTTTAGTAGATCTGCCTGTTCTGTGCCCCACTCTGTCTCTGGTGAATCCTCTCACCCCCCCCACACCTCTGACCTACACCCCAGTTCTTGTATGCATATTTTTAAAAAGATTGATAAGAAAATAACGAAAGTATACATGGGCAATACAATAGGAAAAGTGAGAAATACCCTGAGATAGCCTAGTCACCACCTTAAATACCATCTGTAGCTAAAAGACAAAAGAAAAATATTGTTGATGGGGGAGGCCAATTATTGTTGATGGGGGAGGTTACCACCAAAATAACAGGCTAGTTTGTTATGCAGTTTTAAGCCCCTGTCTTCTCCATTAATTTAATGTCCTGTGATTTAGTCACTTTTCTCATCCTGGTACAGAGTCCCTTACAGAGAATTCTTTTATAAATGTAAGCTACAAAGTAACTTCCAGAGTTGCTCCTGTGTTGACTACTTCTCAAAAAATCACCAGGTAGAAATAATCCTTAAAGGCCTCCCTGGTGGCGCGAGGGGTTAAGCACCGCACTATGAAGCAATCCGCAGCCTCTGCAGCACAAGTTCGATCCCCCACCGGCCAGGGAGAAACCAACATGGTGCAGCAGACCTCTCCTGACTCGCCCGCTGCTCCCCTCAGCAGTGTATTTCAGTCAGTCTGCCTTTCTGTTCCCCGCTCTGTCTCTGTTGAATCCTATCACCCCCGCATCTCTGACCTGCACCCCAGCTCTTGTATGCATAAATAAATCTTTAAAAAAAAAATTTAAAAAAATGGCTACCATAACATTCTGTGCCAAACACAACATCTGGGATACACAGTAAATGTGAGCTTTGCAAAATGTGGGCCAACGCCCCGAAAAAAGACAGGTCAAGCCCTGGAGGTACCGCGAACTGCCCGGCGAGAAGGGCGTCCTTGGCGAGGCATCCACCCAGAGCGCCCAAACATCCCTGTCCAGGGCCAGAGAAAGACCTATAGAGGCTCACTCTCAACGGCGAAATTAAGTGCCCCATCACCCATGGGATCATCAACAAGAGCACTATTTCACAAAATAACATTTTTTTCCAACGCGACACACTTTTTCACGTATGTCAAAAATCACTGTAACTTCTAAATTTCTCACTCGATTGGGTGCCTGTGCTGTGCAGCCAGCGAACACCCAGCCGGATCCCAGCACTTTCTGCTGCTCCACCCCCCCAGCGCCCCGCCCCCGCCATCTCACTTGGACCAATCACTGGCTCGGCCCGCGGCAAGACACGCCCCCGCCGGGCAATCGAGCCCCGCCCCCGCCGCCATCCTCACTTGGACCAATCAGCGGCTCGGCCCGCGGCAAGACACGCCCCCGGCGGGGAATCGAGTCCCGCCCCCGCCCCGCCCCGCCCCCGCCCCGCGCACAGCCCACAACTCGCAAGCCGAAGGCCCGCCGCCCCCCACGGGTACGGGGCGTCCGAAAATCATAGCCAAAACCCACCTAGGCTCCCCGACCGCCCCCCAAATCACTATCCCAATCCCAAGGAGACGCACACGCGGCAGGCCCGGACCCCACATCTCCCAGGCCGCAGCGCCCGCCGCCCGCAGGCTTTCCTCCTCGCCGCCCCCTCCCCGCCCGGGGCCCCCCGCGAGGAGCACGCGGGCTCCCGTCCGCCTGTGCCCCCCGTGCCAGCGCCCCTTTCTCCTGCCCACCCGAGCAGCTCGCCATTCCCTCCCCCCACCGAGCGCCCCCAACGCGCCTCCTCCCCCCTCCTCCAAACTCCGAGCGCCTCCCCAGCCTCCCCTCCCCCCTCCTCCCGCAGCCAATTTCCTCCTCCTGTTTACAGCCCTCACGCCAACCCCCACACACTCGGCCCCGCGGCCCCGCAACTTGAGCGCGCTGCCCCGCCGCCGAGCCCCGGACCCGGCCCGCACCCCCAGGCCCTCGCGGCGCGCCCCGCCGCCGCGCCCCCGCCTGCGGCCCGTCCCCACCCACTACCTGGCGGGGACCGCCGGCGCCGCGGGCTTGCGCAGCCCTCCGTTCAGGCTCCTCGCCTCGGGCGGCGACGCGGAGCCCACGGGCCCCGGCCCAGGCCCGGCCTCGCTCCAGGCCGCATCCCCGCCGGGGGATGGGGAGGCCCCCGCGGCGGCGGCGCCGCCGTCACTCGAAGCCCGGACTCGGGCCCTGCTGGCGTTATTCAGCGCCGGAGACTTGGGGAAGAAGCTGTAGAGCGTGCTCTGTCGCGACATAGCGGCGGCCGGCCGGACGCAACCGCTCGGGCCGAACCCAGCGCGCGGACCAAGCGCGCGGCGCCCGCTGGCGGGAAACCTGGGGGGAGGCGCGCGCAGCGCGAGGGACTCTGGTCCCGCCGGCCAATCCGGGGCCTCCTGGGCGCGCGCGGGCGGCGTCGGGGCGGGGCGCGCCCGGCCACGCCTCCTCGGGGCGCCGGGCGACGTGCGAGGGGGCGGGGCCGGCCCAGCGCGAGTACGACTGGCTGCGCCTCCCCGCCCCGGGCCCCCGCGCCGGCTCGCGGAACTGTTGGGAGCCGGGCGCGTCTGTGCTGGGGCGGGGGAAGAGCGCGGCGGAACACCCGGTCCCGGGGCCGGCGGGGGCGGCGGGGGCGCGGTCCCGCTCGAGAAGGGAGAGCGTGGCGCGGGGGAGCTCGCGTGCCCCCGAGTGGTGTTGGCGCAAACGCGGGGGCTGCGGGACGCAGCAGCCCTGGCGGAGAAATGCCGGGGAGCACCTGCGTGCAGTATCCTGCGTGGAGAGCGCCTGGTCCATGGAACGGAGGGAAAAGGACCACCCTGGGTTTGGGCAGCAGTTGGCTAAATCTGCTCACTTTGTGTTCTCAAAGTGTTGCAGTTGTAGCCACATGATAAATTTTTCCTAACTGAATGCCAAGTGGCATATCTTTGGTTTATGATTTAAAAAAAAAAAAAAAATGCCAGCTACTCAGACCTTTACTCCCCCCCCCCACCATGCATAAATTGCCTAGATTACCCCTTTAAATGCTGCCAGTAACCTATAAAGCAGGTATTTGAAGTTCACAGTCCCTTATCTGAATCTTTTGAGCCAGGTGAGACACAGAATGCAGGATTTTTTCAGACTTTGGAAAGGCAGCAGTGTGTGAATAAGGAGTTCTCTTCTCCAAGAAGTGGAAGTCTGACAGTTATTTGGCCTTCATCGCAAATTGTGAATAAGTAACTGGAAATTAGAATCCCAGAAATCTGCCCCGATTAGCAATAGCTGTGGTTTGGTAAAAAACAAAAAACAAAACAATAGAAAATGAGTTCTATGCTTTGTTCTGGAAGGCTGCAGCGACAAGTAATAAAGTCAACTTTGTTTCAGATATATTTGATAGGTGCTTTCTTCCCGCTATGGGTATACTATTCCCGCAGGGCTGGGCCAACACCCTAAGTCAAACTTCCTGAAATCAAACAAAATATGCTTATTTGCTTTAAGTAGGATAAATACAGACTAATAAATGAAAGCTCAGGTCAGCTGAGGTCAAAATTTGCTACCAAATGAGTTTGTTATAAAGCTTTAGGCTTTCTGAACTTTAGGGGTTTCAGAATTGCAGGTAAGGGATTGTTGACCTGTGTTATATCCCATTTTATGGCTGAAGAAACAGAAGCTCAGATGGGTCAGATAACTTGTGCAAAATCAAACAGCTTGGAAGTGGTGGAGCAGACACTTCAATCCTAAGAAACCATTTCTAAGCCTACTGCTATTGATAGAAATGTTTGTTATACTGTCTTCAATTTAGCATCATTTGACTTCATTTAATCCTTCCAACAATATCTTACTAAGTAGAACTGTATGAAATTGCCAATACTCAGCCTTTTTTGAAGTACAAAAATTCTATTTCATTTGAATCAATACTGTTTTGTTTTGTTTTTACAAAGAGAATATGGCGTTTCAGAGGAAATAAGACAATTGTGAGAATATGGCGTTTCAGAAGGAATAAGACAATTATGAGACAGAGTTTAAGAGCCAGTGCTCTTGAACCTGGACTCTGATCCCAGCCCACCAGTCAGGTAACTGAATGATTTACTTCTCTGAACTTGTTTCCTCATTTTTTTAACATTTATTTTTATTTATGTATACAATAACTGGGGGGGTTAGACCAGTGGCTGGCAATCGCTTGCGCTGATTTTAACCCCTGCACCACCAGAGAGGCCCTGTTTCATTCATCCATACATACAAGAACTGGGGCACAGGCCAGAGGCATGGGGGTGAGAGGACTCACCAGAGATAGAGTGGAGAACAGGACAGACAGACTGACTGAAATACACTGCTGAGGGGAGCAGAGGTCCAGCCAGGAGAGGTCTGCTGCGCCATGTGGGTAGCTCCCTGGCCAGGGATCAAACTGTTTCCTCATCTTTAAAGAGAGCATAGTAACTTTGGGCTAAATTTTGGAGGCTACATTTAGATCCCTCCCACAAACTTCATCAAAAGTTAAACAAGAAGGCCTCCCTGGTGGTGCAAGGGGTTAAGACACAACCTAAGAAGGTACCCGCAGCCTCTGCAGCACGAGTTCGATCCCCAGCCAGGGAGCAACCCACATGGTGCAGAAGACCTCTCCTGTCTCGCCCACTGCTCCCCTCACCAGTGTATTTCAGTCAATCTGCCTGTTCTGTTCCCCACTCTGTTTCTGGTGAATCCTCCACTCCCCACACCTCTGGCCTGTACCCCAGTCTTTGTATGCATAAATATTTTTTTAAAAGAGTTAACAAGAAGTCACACATCTTAGCATCATAAACACATAATCCCTTGATAGGTGAGATGGCCCAGCCATCTCTGGGAGACACATATGTAGAAACAAAGAACACCTGAATAAGAATAGAACATCTACTTAGTTAGCAAGTTAATGCTTGTTTAGGCAAAGACTTAAAGGCAGGTGGAGGAGTAGGAAATCCTCACAGTGAAAAAAGGGAAGGATTCAGGGGTAATCTGATTGGAAGTAGTTGGGATGGAGAAGCAGGAAATGGGCTAAAGAGAAGTAAATCTTCACATGATTGGTTTGGGGGAGCACATTTAGCTATTTCTGATTGGTTCTGAGTTGACAGTCAGAACAAGGGCCTCCCTGGTGGCGCAAGGGGTTAAGATGCAACCTATAAAGCTCTCTGCAGCCTCTAAGGCACGAGTTCTATTCCTGGCCAGGTTGCTGATGCAGCAGAGCTCTCCTGTCTCGCCCACTGCTCCCCTCAGCAGTGTATTGCAGTAGATCCACCTGTTCTGCTCCCCACTCTGTCTCTGGTGAATCCTCTCACCCACTGCCCCGAAACTCTGGCCTATACCCCAGGTCTTGCATGCATGCATAAATAAAATAAATTAAAAAAAAAAAGAAATGGTATGGACATAGGGGAGTATGGGCTACACAACGTCTAGGTAAAAAGAGCCAGAAGAGTAGGAATTACTGGTACTTAGAAAAATCTGGATATATTTACTCTGGGATGACTCATGAGGGATGGTGAACTAGCCCTTCAGAGTTAACTATGGATGTTCTGCACCTGTGTGCTCCATGCTCCCATGACAATTCCTTCAATCGAGGTCTTACTCTATGCAGGTGCTGATGTGAGTACAGAGATATAATCATGAATCAGACAGATACATCCAGAGGAAATGAAGACTGCTGAGAAAACAAGCAGTTACAGCATGCTATTCCCAGCAGGCTTGTAGATTGTTAGATCACATTGATAGCAATTTAGGTTGGTACCAAACTTGGCACCAAGGCACTCCAGGGAACAAGAGCAAATTCACAAGGGCACTAAGGAATAATTTTAAATTTCAAGGAAAACTCGGCGACATCTGTCAGACACCACGCAAAACTACTAACTTTAGGTAGTTCACAGTTTCAACTTTAAATCATGCTACATTGCTTTTGATGATATTGTTGGGGAGGAAAAACATTTCCTCTATCCTCTTGGGTTCAATTTTAGGAGTCTGCAAATTAAACTGACAAAAGACAGATTTGTGAAAGAGTTTATTTTTGCATGCAATATGAATATGTGTGGGATAGCTTGGGGATGAGTAATCAAAAAGGGTAGTTAGAATTTGGGAGTTGGATACCTAACACAGTGGGGGAATGGGAAGCAGTGAAGGCTCCTATGGGAAGGACAAATACATTTCTTTAGGAAAGATAAATGGGTTCTTAGGAGGATAAACACAAGACAAGAAAGTTTGTGATCGATTTTTGTGGGTACAAGTCTGCCTTCCTCAAGACCATGAAACTACCCTGGAGAGAGACTTTATGGCAGCCTCATTCTCAGAGGTTGATGCTTTTAGTAAGATAAAGGAAACTCCAGGAAGGCTTCATTCTATATCTGCTGAATCACAAAAGTCTTCTGCTTAGAATAGTCTAAACAAACTCTGGGGTTTGGAATGGGTCCCCACAACTTGTGAAGCTGAATTTGGAGTTTTTCTATGATAAAAAGCAGATACCCTGAGAAAAGTTAATATGGAATGGTGCAGGGGAGTGGGTCGTATCCAAATCCAGCTGACACAACTCATTGCTGTGTATAGCTTATTTGAGGATGAAATTAAAAGATTTTTTAATTTCTTTCAAACTGCTACTAAACCATTGGGACAAAATCAATTATTAAGTTATATGGACATAAAACATAAACAGAACTGATTTGTATTTCTTTTGCTTAGGGGTTCAGTGAAGAAAGTACGAAGATGCTAAGAGCACCAGAAGTTTAGGACCTAGTGGCTCTGTACTCAAACTTCACGTGTTCAAATCCCATCTGAACTACTTACTGACTATATGACCTTGTTAGGCAAGTTGTTAATCCCTGTGCCTCAGTTTCTTTACCTGTGAAATGGACATGATTATAACAGTATAACGAGGTTCCATGTTCCCTGCCTCACCTAATGAAGGGTGGAACTGGGGTGGGGGGACCCCAGAAAGGACTGGGTGAGGAGGAAGGACTTGGAGGAGGCACATAGAGTAGAGAAACGTGAAGAAGAAGAAAGCTCACTTGCTACTTGTCCTTAGACTTGCAACAGGAACTCGGGGGACATGGAGGGAGACACTTGGCAGAGATGTGGGTGAGAGAGACCCATGGGGAGGCTGACAAGGGCAGTCCTTATATTGACTTGTGCTTTGATCTTGCTCCTTTACTTCTAGACTTCCCTGGCCCCTGCGGCGCCTTTCCTATGGTTTCCCGCCATAAGGTGCCTTAGACTTGTGGCAAGCTTTTGGGCCTCAGCAGTCCTGCTTTGGGTGAACCCTGCTTGGCTAGGCATTTACCCACAAGGGGTGGGTAACTCTAGGAGTTTCATTAA